CTCCCCAAACAAAATAAAATAAAACAAAACGTTACCGTCTGTGTCCCTTTTTTGCCCTACTGAATAATGTTGGGAGCCAACATTCATAAGAAAGTAAGTTATTTATTATCTAATCTGTCACTGATTTCGCTTGAACTGCAGTTTGGGGCCAGAGTCGAGGACATAAGTACAGATAGAAGGCATGGAAAGAAAAAGAAAATATCTTGCCATTATTCCTTTCCATGAAAACTGCGTTTCAATGTACCACAGATATGAGAATATAAATCGTGTCTGTCATTGTCATAACCTAGGCCCTTTCGCGAATAAAGGCGCAGAATTGAATAATGAAACGAGAAAAGAAAAATAATACAATTTTTGATACACAAGTACCTTAGTTAGGCAGTTTCTATTTTTATTTAGATCTATTTATTTATTTATTTATTTATTTATTTATTTATTTATTTATTTACTCGTTTGTTTGTTTGTGTTTTTTTCGTTTTCAGGATTCCTTCAAAGGAGGAAGGCGATTTCTTTGAACTTTTCAGAATGCTGATGAGATACGGCTGTATTGCTGTTTTATGGTATGTTGTTGTATTTGTGCATAAAGTTTAATAATAGGCCTAATGATAACGAAAAATTATAAGTGCATTTGTATAGCGTATGCACCGCACTTTACAGCATGTTCTATTCGCTCTACAACTATTATTAGGGGGCTCTCGTGGTCTAGAGGTTAAAGTGCTCGCCTTTCCTTCAAAAGGTCCCGAATTCGAATCCAGATAGCGACGGATTCTTTTCTTCTCTAAAATGTTCTCGTTTTACATCCGTTCCTAGTTCCTACTCTTTAACAATGTTCCGTCGTCTGCTTTCGTCTCCACCTTCTGCCCCCACCCTCTCAGATTCTTTACCCCCTCCTCTGGGCTCTTTACTCGTTCTGCAGCTTTCTACTGCTACTCCTTCATGGCTCCTTCTTATTGCTGTCTTTCAGCCACACCCCTGATCTAACACCTATCCTTCTTGGACAAGGGTGAAAAATCTCGGAGGTCCCGTGTGCATGTTGTGCACGTTAAAGATCCCTTGGTGGTTAAAAATCGATAAGAGTATACTTGGGCCGTCACCCGGGTAAAATTTAAAATTTATTAGCAACTGAAAATGTTTAATGTGTCCTTTGCGCTCATGATATGACCTTATGCAGTTGCGAGCGCCGTAAAACACTTACAAAAAAAAGACCCCAAAAAGACAAAACAAAACAAAAACCCTATTATTATCACAGTAGACCCGAGAGCACTCAGAAATATTCTCGGCTTCCCGGGAAGCACACAGTTGATGTTTGACTCTAACTATGTTAATGTAAATCCATGAGCACTGATTTTCCAAAACAGTTGTGATTTTCTTCTTTTTTTTTTCTTTTTTTTTTTTTGAACGTGCTTTCTTTCTTTCTTTTTACCAACCAGATTTGCTTTTTAAAAAAAATTAAATTGTGTAAAGCGTTCTTTATATATATATATATATATATATATATATATATATATATATATATATATATATATATATATATATATATTTTTATATATATATATATATATATATATATATGTATATACGTTATAATATCACCAATTAAAATAGTGTTTGGCCTAAATTGGCGGATACACAGTTGAGGTTAGACACGAGTGATACCTTATAATATATAACATACAATAGCCCACCGTTTGTTTATTTGTTGTGGTTGTTGCGGGGTTGTTGTTTTTTGGCAGAGGCTGTTTTGTTGTTGTTCTTGTTGTTGTTTGTATGTATGTAAAGTAAGTGCGTGGGTTTGACGCTCTATTAACATTGGGTTGAAAGCCTTGAAAACTCCACAAAATGACATGAGTTCAGGATTGCCCAGTCTGGGATTCGAACCAGGACCATCAGTTGCTCTGTAGTTATTTGTTTGTTTTTGTAAGTGTTTTACGGCGCTCGCAACTGCATAAGGTCATATGAGCGCGCGGGACACATTAAACTTTTTCAGTTGGTAGGACATTTTGAATGTTGCCCGGGTGGCGGCCGAAGCCTGCTCTTATCGATTTTAGTTAACGTGCGCAACTTGTACACGAGCCCTCCGAGATTTTTCGCCCTTGTCCGAGAAGGCTAGGTGTAGATCTTTCCTACCAGAAGATCAGGAGTGTGGCTGAAAGACAACAGTCAGAAGAAGCCAAGGAGTAGCAGTAGAAAGGCTGTAGAAAGAATGAGGAGCCCAGAGGAGGGGGGCAAAGGAGATGAGGGAGTGGGGGCAGAAAGAGGAGACGAAAGCAGACGACAGAACATTGCTAGAGAGCAGGAAAGGAGGTGAAAGGAGACAAATTTAGAGAAGAAAATATTTTGGTCACTACTCGGATTCGAACCCGGGACCTTTGAATGAAAGGCCAACACCTGAACCTCTAGGCCACGAGAGCCCCCGCTCTGTAGTTCAGCATGACACCAACTGAGCTTAGGGAGCGCCCGTTTGTTTTGGTGTTTTGGTGTTTGTTTGTTTGTCTTATTGTTTGTTTCGGTGTTTCTTTGTTTTGATGTTTGTTTATTTGGCTGGTTGTTTGTTTGGTTGGTTGTTTGTTTGTTTTCAATCAGTGCCCGCGCACTCTTCCACAGTCTCTACTGCTTAGGATACAGCTCTGGCGCCTTCCACAAGGTCCCCCCAGGGATGTGTTACATCTCGGAGATCGCGGTGGACGCCAAGTTCCAGGGTAGAGGGGTCGGACAAGCGCTGTTGGACCTGGCCGACACGGAGGCCCGGAGCAAAAACTGTCACGTGAGTCAACGTCACAGGCGTTACATTTAACTCATTGAGGACGCGCATTTTAGTCATTTGGCAACACTGGAAGGCGCGCTGTTTTGAGGAAACAGAGCTTCATTATCATAATGTCGATTTTTAGAATATGCTTTCTTTATCAGAAACGTTTTGGGGTGTTGTTGTTTTTTTCCTGGTTTTTTTTGTGCCGGGAGGGGGGTTAGATCTATTTGTTGATGTTGTGGTTGCTGTTGTTGTTGTTGTTGTTGTTGATTTTTTTTTATTTATTTTTTTTTTGGGGGGGGGTGTTTTGTTTTGTCTTGTAATTTCAAAAAGAATTTTACGGCACTTGCAAAATAATGAGATCATGTAAGTGCAGAAGATTAAAAGTGCTACAAGAGAGTAAAAAACAAAAAAAAAAGGAGGAGAGATAAGAGTTGATAGGAAAGATCAATGAGCAATCCACATCAGAGCACCCGCCAACCGCCCACTTCCGAACTTAAAAAGGAAGGCAACATATTATAAGAGCAAACTGGTGTGTCTGATATGTGTATTATGGATCAAATTGCGTCGAAACATCGCCTTATGCTGCTACTGATCGAATGTGACCGCTATAACGTTTCTAAAGAGTTAACATAGATTGCGCCTGTCACTCCCCACATGGTCCCCACCTCCCACTTGTGGGCGACATAGCCCAGATTGGCAACTTGACACCAGTCTAAACTTTGTAATCTTCAGCTCACATCGGTTTTATCTGTTATTTGTACAGGTATATTATTTTCCACTCCCCACCAGCACAATTAGGCTAAAGAGGAGCTGCTTCGACCCAGTCGGTCAAGGCCTGGCCAACCTTGACTGAGTGGAATACAACCTCCCAGCAAACAGACAGACGTGCTCGATTTTTAAAAAACCCAAAAAACCCACATCAAACAACTACAACAACAACAACAACAACAACAACAACAACAACAACAACAACAACAACAACAACAACAACAACAACAACAACACTTCTCCACTCAGGAATCGAATGGGAGAAAATGGAGGAGTTTTCGGATATATAACAAAGGCATGATGAATATTCATGAGACTCGCAATTCTTTGAGCTTTAACTACATTACTCTTCTTTTTAACGTTGGCTTTTCAGAACTTCTTAGAGCTAGCCTTTCAGAATTTTTAAGAAATCATTTATAGAAATCATAAATAGTCTTGTCATACTATTAACAGTACAAGCACACGTCAATAATAGAGACAGACCGTGGGTGGTTGACGGGTTCTCTGGTGTGGTTTGATCCTTCTTTCCTATCAAACATCTGTCGTCGTAAATCTCTCGTTCTTCTTTTTTATTGTTTATGTTACTTTCGTGTAACACTTTTAATCTTCGATACTTAAATATGACCTTATCGTATTGCAAGTGTCGTAAAACTCGTATGAAAAACGAAAACAAAGAGATAGGCCCACGCGGTAGATAATATCATATGAATCTGTGATTCGTCATATTTATTCGTGCATAATCGTAAACACAAATGTGTTACACTTTTTATTATCTACGTGCTAGGCATTGCTACTCATAAAAACTCAGTGATAAGAAATTATCAAAAAGATCTGTCATTGATCCTTTCATAATCGTCAAAACATAGTTTGCATTCCTTTCATTATATCTGTATCGATTCTTGCTCTTTACAGTAATAAATCTACTATTAGTTATGCATTCTGTTTGTTTTGTTTTGTTTATTTGAAAAATAGAAATCTGCTATTTTTGATAAAGTAGGTACTAGGTTCATTCAATATCCATAAACCACTCCTAAACATCCGTTAACTCGCAATGTGTCAATTTCGTCTACATGTAACTTTATTCTCAATTTTGTTATCGAAGTTGCTAAAGTTATTGTTTCTGTTAAAGTTGTCGTTGTTATCGTCGTCGTTGTTGTTAGAAAGCTAGGGGGGGGGGGGTTTAAAGGTGAGTATCAAGTTCTTAAAAATTCATTAATGAACGCATACGTTTTGCTCTTCTGATGGGCTTCTTCTTTTTCAAATGCGAACTCTGAAACAAACATCAGCGATCTTGGTTTAGTTTATCGTTTTTTTGTCTGCTAGGGTGCTCCTTCATCAATCTAATCTTTTCCTCCCCCCGTTTTTCTCAAGTTCTTTAAGTAAGTAAGATATTCTTGACGCACCTCGGCCTTTTTCCCTTTCTTTTTTTTTCTTGTGAGAGCAAAATGCTCAGGAATTTTATTTCGGTTTAAGCGCCCCATGAACTTGCATTCTGTAACTCCAGAATGGCAACGTTTTTACTTTGAATTTTTAACGTTTGGGATTAAAGTGTCTATAAGGCCTCCTCTTGTAATTCCAGAATTACCTCATGAGTAAAAATGTGAACTTCTTTTCCTTTATTTTCAAATTAAAACCATATTAATGTAGTTCTTCATTTAAGACATCACCATCGTCATCAAGTGCCAGATCTGCGACAGACATTAGCAATCATGGTTTCCCCATGCATTCATTTGCCCGCATGCTCTTAATAAAGCTACATTATCTTGATCATTTTCTGTCACCCATCCCTTTCGGCTCTCCAAATAGGTTGCCCTGGGCCTACCCTTGCCTCTTTTGCCCCCAACATAAGGGAGGTGCTGTTCAGGGGGTGCGATTCGTCTTCTCCAAGGAGATTGTATGAATGTTATAAATCTATATAACAATGACAATGACAATTTTTTTCATCTTCCAGGGAGAAATTTGTCTTGGTCTTTTCCAATGGCAGTGTATGTTACAAAGGCTAGGTGCATTCGCTCATACAAGGTGCACTCGCTCATACACACAACAAGACAGGACATTAGTCATTAATACAGTCATGTTTTGCGTGCTGAGACAACCCTGCCCTATCTATCTATCTATCTATCTATCTATCTATCTATCTATCTATCTATCTATCTATCTGTCTGTATGTGTGTGTGTGTGTGTGTATGTGTGTG